AAATCAACGAACTCTGGTCTCTCATTGATCAACACAGATATAAACTACCAAGCTTTAATGAATTAAATAATAGTAAGAAAATGTGCACCAGGGAAGTAGTCGCCATTGCTTACGCTATTGGCGAGATTAAACTAAGAAGTATTACTTTTTTAATAATTAAACAGAAATGTTGAATGTGATTAAGGCAGAGTTTGGTTGGTGGTTGAAGGAAAAGAAAAGAAAAGAAAGGTGACGGAGAGAAATGAAAAACTGGGTTTGGAATAGTTTTTTAAAGGAAAATAAAGGAAATTGAGGGGTTTTGAAGAATACAAATTAGGCATAAAGTATTGATTTTGTAATCCTCCCAAAAATGGGAGGAAAGGGAAAGAAAAACTATCATTTTTATGTTAGTAAATTTATTTAAATAGTTTTCTTTCTTTTATTTTCCCATTTACTAATGAATCAAACATGATAAATATTTAATAATGCCCTCTCTTTTTCTCTTCTAATTAAAGTTATCATTTTTTTTCTTTTTCAATATATCAATGTCAACCTTGTTCAATTTTAAATTAGGATGACGGTAAAGTTTGAACACAAAACTTACTAGTCTGCTCTAATACCATGTTATTAATTATATATTTTAAAAAGTTAAGCTGTAAAATATGATATAATTTAAATATATAATTGATTCAACAGTTACAAATAAACTATTTAAATTTATTAATTACACGTAACATAGTAGTTATAAAATGTGCATGAGGGGAATTGGATCATGCCAATAACCTCCCATCCGAGTTTGAGTCTGGACCAAAAAATGTGTGAAGGTTAATCTGTGTTTCTTGTTATATAAAAAAATTAATTAAAAAAAAAAAAACCAATAACAACAATTATTATTAGTTTAGAGAGGGAATGTACTTTGTTTAGAAAGGATACAATCCCCATAAAAGAGATTTGCTATGTATCTCTTAAAATGACGATATGAACAGATGTACAAACGCCATTTTTTTTGGGACGCCTAACAATCACTTTCCCCCAGCAGAGTAAGATATTTTTGGAAAATATCTTCCAAAAGTAGGTTTGTTAATGGAACTAACTGTTAAAGATGTGAATATCATATATGATATATCTCACCTTATTATTATTATTATTATTATTATTATTATTTTTAACAATTATATATATCTTATTTTAGATAATATTTATTTTGAACAAATATCGTTTGTCACTTATCATCCATATTCAATATCTTAAGAAAGTATGCATATGTATTATGTTTTGTGATAAAACCCCTATTATTTTAATATCCTCTTTCGTATCTTCTGACAACTTCAATCATATATATATATATAAAAGTAGTATTAGACTCTACAATATAATCAAGTATGCATAATCTTATCTACGCATGAAGAGACTAAAAACAAACATACTTGATCCGTATCCCAATCCCGATATCTTTCCTTGGAAAAAAAAGGTGGGGAACTATATATTCACTGGTCATCACTTTCATCTATCTTTTTCTGGTGTCCCTCAAAAACGTGATTGATAGAAACAGAAAAACAAGAGTTGCTAGAGAACAAAGATCAATTAATACCATACATTAGCCACCTTCCCAAGAGGGACTAGCTTTATCAATATATATCAATGGCATCAACTTCACCTTGAATTAATAATCCAAACAGATGTGTAGAGTTTAGTAAGTTATTTGATATATTTGGGGACCTCTAAGATGCTTTAGCATTATGTTTATATATGGTATACATCGATATATGTAGTTATCATACAGGAAAATTGATTAGTGCACCCGATATTATTTATATATCTATTAGGCTTTATAAAATTGGTGCCGGACATTATTTGCATATATCTATATATATATAATTATTTATATATGATTTAACAATTTTTATTGTTGTTCTCTATAACACTAAAAAGGAAAGAAAAAAAAAAAAAACTATATATTAGGGCAAAGTACATAAAACCCTCCATTTGTAACCTTTTTTCAGTAAATCATTTCGTCTAATTTTTTACCATAGGATCTCTCTTGAGTTGTAACCCTTTTTCCAATAAATTCCCCTTATCTAATTTTTTACCAAAGAACCCCTCTCAACTAATTTCACAAATTCATATCTCACAAACAATACATTCAAATATTACAAATAATATATGTACGGAAAGCGTATGAAATAAGAATTCCAAAAATATAAGATTTATTTAATAAAATTTTATAACCAGAAAGACATAGATAATCTAAAAATCTACTTCAACAATCTTATTTTATTTTATTTTATTTTTTATAAAATGCACGGGTTATTTGCAACAAAATTTTCAGAATTATTTATTTTCTTATGAAGCATAACATATAAAAAAAATTAGCCCCAATAAAGACCGAATATTCATTTTTATTTATTTTTAAATGGTGAGTCTATAAAAGAATAAAAATACTTTGACGCAAAATATGATATCTCATGAAATCGATCTCTTTTGGGGCTGAATTTTTTATATATTCGGCTTCATATGTAAATGAATAATTCTGAATATTTTTTGCAAATATCTCAAATATTTTATTATTTAAAAATAAAATACGATTGTTGGAGTAGATTTTTAGATTACTTATTTCTCTCTGGTTATGAAGGTTTGTTGTACAAATCTTATATTTTTGGAATCCTTATTTCATAAATTTTCCGTACATATATTATTTACAATTTTTAAATGTACGGTTTGTGAGATATAAATTTTTGAAATTCGAAAAAATTAAAATTTAAATAAAATGATATTTTGGTCCAAATATTAACTTTTTTACCCCTTCAGATAGTTGAGGGTGGTTCTTTGATAAAAAATTATACAAGGGGAATTTATTGAAAGAATGGTACAAGTCAAGGAGGGTTCTATAATTAATAAATAAATAAATAAATAGTTACTGAAAAATGTTACAAGTTGGAAAGTTTTCTATACTAACTACAATAAATGACATAAAATGTTTTTTAATTAGTTACAACTTACAAGTTACTCAAGGTATGATTTACTGAAGACTATAATAAATGAAAAAGAAAATATGAAGTTAAAAAATATATATTTCCCCCTTTGACAGCCATATAAAAAGGAAAAACTGCACCAGCATGCATGAAACAAAAACACAACAAATTGAACAAAATAAATCACATGTATTATTGGTTATGACAATGACTTACGTATGTTGAAAATGATTGATGGGATGTTTTTCTTATTAAGAGCAATAAATATAAACATGAATAACCGAGTCCAATTATAGTCTTATAATCTAAGGTAAAGTGAAAAAAATAAAAAAATTATAATAATAAAAAAATAAAAAACTATTTAACCATTGATTTTTTTTTTTTGCAAACAAGTCTCCTGAATTATAAACTACTACTCTGAACTTTTTTTATCATTTCTCATTAAATTTTTCATTTCTTACTAAATTATTATTTTTATTTAAATATTAATTATATCATTTACCTTAATTTTATTATTAGTATCAATTTACCATAACACCTCTGAACTACAATAACGACCCCTTAAACTATTTTCTACTTAATATTTTTATTTAAATAATTAATTTCAAGAATTAAAGGTAAGCTTATATAAATTTAATAGAGAATATCTCATCAAATTAGTATGAATTTATTTCATAATTTATTTTAATAGGAAAAAGAGATTAAGTATATTTCAGTAACAAAGGGTATTGTGGTCTTTTAAAGAAAAGTAATTCAGGTATGAAATATTTTCCAATAAGATGTAATAGTTTAAGAATTATTAGGTACAAAATATACTTTAAAAAAATCATTTATAAATTCATACCTAATTCATGGGGTTACACTTCACCCTACAATCCATTTGACTTAAAAATCGCAAGTTATTTGTTATGTGAAAAAACCAGATACTATAGTTAACTAGTATTTGATTATTCATTGTTTTTTGGATGATTGATATGGAATGTGGAATGTGCTAGTCACAGACATAATGGGCCATGTTTTTCAAAATTGAAAAGGTCCACTTTGGGGTAGTCCAAGGGGTTTATATCATATATGAGTATTTTATGTGCATGTTAGAGAGAGAGAGAGAATAAGTTTTGTGTGTGTGTGTGTGTGTGAGAGAGAGAGAGAGCGTGGGCCTGGGGGGGTGGGGGTGGTTAAGTAATGTGACAAAGGTCTCAAGGTAGAAAACGGCCACGTGTGTGGTGTTGACCCTTTATTGAGGGCAATACGCGGAATGAGATCGAAGAGGGTCCCTAATCATAGTGGGCACCCCATTTCATTTTCACTTACCGTTCTATCTACATCCATCACTTTGCTTCTCACCCTAATTCTCATTCTTATTGGTCCTTATAGTACGGACCCCCTCCAATTACATAACTCCCAACACACTTCTCTCTCTCCCTATGCATATGCTCTAACATAATTGTTGGTCATGTCATGTGTCACTAGGTTAGTATGTTCATCTCACCAACTTTTGGATGGGGAACATCAAAGCCATCCTTTCTTGAAACCTAAAGTTTTTACTGGCCGAATTCTCGTAAGTTTGTGCGCTATTCGTCACCATCTGTTCAACTCATATAAATATATATACTTGAACACTCCTTAATCATATAGCCGTATTTTGAAATTTTTTTCGAAAAATCATGCATCCCAAGCGAATGAAAACGCATAATCTCAAAATAGAGTGATTAAAACATCTTACATTATATAAAATAAATATTGTTAAAATTTAAATGTGTGAACCCCTCGTATAAATATGTTAATATATAACCCGTGAATACGAATGGCCAAAACTCACAGATCTTGATACGATGGGTGCGCCGGTCAGTGGTCACCTAATAATGTGGCATTCGATATCTTCTCCTTTTATTTGTCCCTCTAAGCTTTGCTCTACGTCCACACCAAGTGCCCTTCCTCCACGTGGCCTTCTCTGATATGTTGAAGGGGGACCATCTTAATATACCTTCCTCTCTCATCACCTCAACACTCCCACTATCATTCTATTTAAACCCTTTCGCTCTCCACACCTCTACCCCAATCTTACCACTTTCTTTCTCTCTCTCTCTCCCTCTCTGCAAAACTAAAACACACACACTTCTCTCTTTTTGAGCACACACTCAAAAAGGAGAACCTAAAACCATGGCTTCTTCAACACCACCAGCAAATTTTAGTAAATGGGCCGGGGCCCAAGTCCCTCACCACTTCTCTTCCTCATCGCTGGTTGATGTGAGCTTCAGCTCAAAATCCATATCTCTGAAGAAGCCCAACAAAAGAGCTAATATTCACTGTGCTGCTTCAGCTTTACACTCACCTTCAGTGCTTCATTTACCAAAACAACCCTACCAACCACCAACAATCACCAAAGAGGACTCAGCTCATACACCCAAAACAGCTCAATCACCTCACTGGAACTTACTACAGAGAGCTGCAGCTATGGCCTTGGACATGGCGGAGGCCGCGTTGGTGTCACTCGAGCGCAAACACCCACTTCCCACAACCGCCGACCCACGTGTCCAAATTGCCGGAAATTTTGCTCCGGTGCCGGAACAACCAGTGCAGCACCCGTTACCGGTCACCGGCACCATACCCGATTGCATTCGAGGCGTCTACTGCCGAAATGGGGCTAACCCGTTATTCGAGCCGGTTGCCGGACACCACTTCTTTGACGGCGACGGCATGGTACATGCAGTCACCTTCAATGGCAATTCAGTTAGCTACGCTTGCCGGTACACCGAGACTCAGAGGCTGGTCCAAGAGAAAGAATTAGGCCGGCCGGTCTTCCCCAAAGCTATTGGTGAGCTCCACGGACACTCCGGTGTTGCCCGCCTCCTCCTCTTCTACGCCCGAGGGCTGTTCGGGCTTGTCGACCACAATCACGGCACCGGAGTGGCCAACGCCGGTCTTGTATACTTCAACCAGCGACTCCTTGCCATGTCAGAGGATGACCTTCCTTACCAAGTCCGTGTCAAACCCTCCGGTGACCTAGAGACCGTTGGCCGCTACGACTTCAATGAGCAGCTCCGGTCGACCATGATCGCACACCCAAAGCTCGACCCAGTTTCCGGCGAGCTCTTCGCTCTCAGCTACGACATTATCCAGAAGCCGTATCTCAAGTACTTCCGATTCTCTCCTGACGGAACAAAGTCACCGGACGTTGAAATTCCGGTGGACGTGCCGACCATGATGCATGACTTCGCAATCACCGAAAACTACGTTGTTATACCGGACCAACAAGTGGTGTTCAAGCTTCAGGAGATGATAAGAGGAGGCTCTCCGGTGATCTATGAGAAGAACAAGAAGTCTCGGTTCGGAATTCTATCAAAAAATGCCCGCAACGCTTCCGATATCATATGGGTCGAATCGCCCGAGACTTTCTGCTTTCATCTATGGAACGCTTGGGAGGAACCCGAGTCCAACGAAGTCGTGGTGATCGGGTCATGCATGACACCACCGGACTCGATTTTCAACGAATGTGACGAAAATTTGAAAAGTGTTTTATCAGAAATTCGACTCAACTTGAAAACCGGTGAGTCGACTCGGCGAGCGATAATTCAAGACTCGGATCAGATAAATCTGGAAGCGGGAATGGTGAACCGGAACAGACTCGGACGGAAGACCCGGTTCGCGTATCTGGCCATTGCGGAACCGTGGCCTAAAGTTTCAGGTTTGGCCAAGGTGGACCTCTCCACCGGAGAAGTTGAGAAGTTTGTTTACGGCGACCGGAGATACGGAGGCGAGCCGTTCTTTGTTCCCAGAGACCCGAATTCGGAGCGGGAAGATGATGGGTACATTATGGCATTTGTTCACGATGAGAAGACATGGAAATCGGAGCTTCTGATAGTAAACGCCATGAATTTAGAGTTGGAGGCTTCGGTTAAGCTTCCTTCGAGAGTTCCGTATGGATTTCATGGGACGTTCATAAGCTCAAATGATTTAGAGAACCAAGTCTAGACATATATAATGGTCGCTGTAGTTAAAAGTCATATATATATATATATGTGGCTATATAGAGAGAGAAAGAGAGATACCAGAGGGATGCTAGTAGTCCCCGGACTCTGCAGAACTTTTAACTCCAGCAACCATTTTTGGTTTTTGTGTTGAGGAGCCAAGCTTGTAGCTTTTGGACTGTTGCCTGTAGGTAGTGTACGAGCTCAGCTGGTTTCTGTTTCTTTTTTATTTTTTTTTCACTTACTGTGCTTTGTCTTCTTTCTTGTGAAGATGGAGGTAAAGATCTGTCTCTTAAGATCTTCCTTCCTTGTTCTTGTAGATAATGTATATATCTTCAGTTTTTTTGTTCTTTTTTTATATATATTCTTGTTCTTAGTTATTTAATTTCTCCTGCATTATGGATTTTGATTCACCACATGCATGCCAATAGAAATATAAAAATGTGATACAACTGAGGTGCTTTACAGGGTGTTTGAGCTTCCATTAATGCACGGGTGTTCTATCTTAAAAATAAAAAATAAAAATAAAAAATAAAAAATTGTATGACATAATTTTCACAAGTTTGTTTATCATTTTAGAAACAGATCAACATTCAATACTCACCGACTTTACTCTTTTTTTTCTTTCTTTCGTTTTTTGATTCTGTCATGTAAGGGCTTTGGAATCGTGTTTTTCTATCTTCCTAACCGACTATTGAATATTTCAAAAAAATATATTACATGTCTATTTATTTATTTATTTATTTAGTTTTAAAGATGGTTTAATTTTGGGGCCTCCAACTTGTGTGTCTCTCTTTTGCTATAAGCAATCAACCAATTTAACTTTGGGAAGCAACTTTTACTGTTTCAATCTTCTTCTTTTTTCACCACCCATATAATGCCAACCATAAAATGAAGCATAGGACATTAAATGGTCACATTGCTTATAAAGATATGTACTTGTGCTCATATATCTATGTATATAAATTGTCAAAAATTATATAGATATAAATTATATGTGTGTGTGTATGCATATGTATATGTATATGTATGTATTAATAATAATAATTTGTCGGCCAGTCAATATTGGCCAGAACTTCGTAACGTTATAAAATTTTATGATAAAATTGTCCTTTAACCTTTTCGTTTACATATATATATATATATATATATATATATATATATATATGCACACACACATACATGTACATTGATTAAGTGAGGAGAGAAAAAAATAAAAATAAAAAACTTATATGTATATGAAGGTAGTTATTTACATATATTTATATATACATACATATTACATATTATATATATACATGTACATCAATTAAGTGAGGAGCAAAAAATATATATATAGAAAAAAAAGGAACTATATGAATTGTGATTATAGGAATTGATTGTGAATCCATATATAGCACATATATATATAGTTAAAATATAATATAAAAAAAAGGATATAAAATAATTCATTCTTATATTATTTGTTTTGGCAATTCAAAAGAAAGAAAATAATATATTCGCATATGTTTTTTTTGGCAATCTAGTATGTTATTGATGTAAGGGTTAAAACTGATGAGAGGAAAATCAAAGGAGGGAATATTTTTATTTTCATAAAGGTAAGAGATATCTCATAAATAAATAAACGTGTAATTATAAAAATTATGACCAATCAGAAGCGCTGCCGCAGTCGTGAGCACAACTGTAACTATCACTCCTCAACTTTTATTATAGGTCGTCTAGAATGTCTTTCTTCTCTACCAATAGAATTGCATTGACTTTGGACTCACAGTCTTTTTCTTTTATCTCTTGCTAAAAAACCAGATTCATATTCAATGGAATTGACAGTAACTAATTAATATTGTTTTATACTAAGAATTACAAATCAGACTTAAACAGTGCTCGATTGTATAAAATTGATATCTAAAATTAAAATTAGAAAGAAACTAATTTAGAATTTGAACTCTTTTTTATTTTTATTTTTTTGTCAATTCCAATTTCATGTAACAAATAGCATTACTGTTTTCTTTAAATTATTTCATCATAGGACACATTTTATTGTTCATTTAAGAAGATACTACGTATTATTGAGATGATATTAGAAATTTCCTTACAAGTGAAAAGATCGACTAAATAAGTTAAAGTCATTTATTTGTGTGAAAACTTATATACAGAAGTCCTTTTCTTTAGCATTACTCCGAAACATATCTGTGATTGATTTAAAATAGTAAAATCGCCTTGTAATTGATAGCCAATTTTTCATTCAAATTTTTTTTATTTTCCCCACAGAAATATCTTTATATCTAAGTAAATTTGTAGTGGTAAAATTATTTGGGTTTGGGTGTTTACTAGCACCGATGTCTGGGTTCGAATCCAACTAAGAGATTACGACAACTTGAGTTAGGCCTATGTTATCACACTTAGCGATTTTCTCGGTCCAGGATGGAAAGGCCACCCTTCCTAACCTCTCGAGAATTAATCGGAAGTCTCGAATACCCGGTCATCCAAAAAAAAAAACCATTTTGCTAGTACTTTGTGCGTTTCAACTGCCAAATGTGAGGTGGGGACATAAAAAGCAACATACGTTCGGAAGGGAGGCGTACTTTTCGTTATTTAACCTTGTTTAAATAATATTCCCTCCGTCCTACATTAGAGGTCCATTTTTAAAAATTGAAATTTTTAAGGAAACACGCATTTAATGTATTGTCCCATTTTAAAATTACCAATTTATCCCTTCTAATTTAAATATATATAGTTACAAAGTTTGAAATTTTTTAAAAAGATATATAAAGGACAATAATAGAAATATAGAATTTATTTCCTTTGACTTTTCAAAGAGGACAACTAATTTGGAATATGAAAAAAGAGAATAATGGAATGAGGGAGTAATAATTACTCTCACTATGTTGTTGTTTTTTTTTTTTTTTTCTTTTTTTTTTTTTTTTTGTTAATTACTCTCACTATATGATTGTGCTTAATTAGGCAGCAAAAGAAATATTAATTCTGACTAATTTGTTATATATTAACGTATGAGTGGCTGACTAGTGACTACATTGCCATTAGCTTTTTTAATACCGCAATTACTTAGAGAACAGCATTGTTTAAGTAATTAATTAACTAAATAATTTATACATATGTTTTTTTGGGATATAAGTTAACCCTTCTTTATGCATGAGTCCACCGACATTGTTCGATTGACTCCAAGCAAATGTAACGTGTGGATGAAAACGAATTAATCTCAACTTCAAAAATTTTGACTCACAATTTTGTGAGTCAAAATTACCAACGTAGACATCTAATATTGGATATAGGTATTATATAAACATATAAAAGGAATATGACTAAAAATGACCTCAAATGACTAAAAAATAGAAAATAATAATAAGTCAAAATTTTCAAATTGGACAAATAATATGAAACTGAGAGAGTATCAATTAAATCAGTAAAGGGTTATAAATAATTAATTGTTTTTTAATATCACATTAGATGTTCTCCTAATCAGTTTAGGTAAAAGAGTAAAAAAAAAAAAACCTTAAATTATACTATTGTTGTATAATACTGTCCTGAACTATTTTTGAAAACAAATTGTCCCCTTGAACTATACCATTGTTGCAAAATACCCTCTTAAAGGCCACCGGAAGCTAAATTCCGGCCAACAGAGGGACACAATTACTAATATACCCTTTCTTAAAAATTTATTATAAAAAATATAAAATATCATGCCTACAAAATAACAATAATGCCTTCATATTTTTTATATATTTTTCTTCATCTTCCATGCTGCCGTTGACTTTTCGGTGTGGCCGGCACCTGTGCAATTTCTTCCTCTCCCTCAAAGATAGCTTCAATTCTTTGCATAGCAAGAATTGTCCGAAAATCATATATTTTGTGTACTTGTTTTGCCTACTGCACGGAAACACACGAGATTTCTAAAAACCACATTGTATATTCTAAACATATGGTATGATCTTGATTTCTTAAAGGATTAACTGTAATCTCCTTCTCTGTTGGTACTTATTAGAATTTTATATTGGGATCAAATAGATGTTGAGACAAGAGTTGTAGTAGAATCTGGATGTATTCATATTTGCTGGCAAGTGATATAATGTATTTTTCATGGATGCATATCATTCATAATCTCCAATATTTCTGCTCCTCATTCTCTGTTGGAAGAAGCATTAATTAAGGTCGACTCTTGGTATCTAAATTTCTGATTAAGCACCAACTAACAATTTTCTATCTGTTTGAATCCACTCGAGAGTCCTGAATAAACATAAATTGTTTACTTCAAGCTCTGTACGTTTTACCATAGTCAAGAATTAACTTGCTCAAATGCCATAACTGAGTTCACACATTTGGAGGAAAGTTTGATGGGTAACTGGTAAGCCTTTCCAAAAAGTAAAAGTTTGTTTATAGGCATCTTATTGGCATTGTTAACGGAGAATTTTTCTGCTTCAATCAGTAGGCCATTATTGACAGGTGGTTTGACCCAAAATTCAGCCTCGTTCGGGAAGATGAAGTAAAAAATCTTAAAAGAGCATTATTGAAATTTTCTAAGTAACGGTAAATTAGTAATTATGTCCCCTGTTGATTGAAAATTAACCTGTGATGTTGGGGCATTTTGCAACAATAGTATAGTTCAACAGGCAACTTGCTTCTAAAAATAGCTCCGGAGGGCATTATGCAACAATGATATTGTTTAGGCGTGTTTTTTTTTGCTCTTTTGCTAATTATATATTTTGAAGTTGAATCAATATAGGAAAATGAGTAGTGCTGTAAATAAAAAACTAGAAAACTATATATATATATTACAATTGAAAAGAAAATAAAAACCTAAGCAGAGAAGAGAAGATTTAATAAATAAATCTCAATATTTTATGGTTGATGGATGTATAATTTAAATACCCGCGAATATGAGAAGAATGTTAAATTAACGCCATATCTCATAAGATTGAGATAGGTTCTACATATTACGATAAAGATTAAGTCTACAGATTAACTCTATGTTACATACTGACCTAAGTCGGGACTAATTGACGTTTGAAAGTATGCAATAAATCCTAATAAGATCTCCTTTTCGTCTCTATGTTCAGGAAATCGGATCAGATTCGGTTTACACAAAATTCACTATCAACAATAGTTATTTCACTTAGCGAGAGAAATAGAAAATAGTAAAAAATTCATTTGGTTGCCAATTTTTTTAAAACTAGGTTAATATATATATATATATGATGTCTTAAAAATGAAATGACTTTTAGATGATTAGAGAGGTTTGGTGTGGTGTATAATCTTCCTATCTCCAAAAAGAACGAAAGTGAAGGGGGAGGAAAGGAATAGTTCGAATCATGGGTAAAAAAGTAAAATTAGTTTTAGACAATGTTGATGTTTGTTTTTTTGTCAATCGAAAGTTTCACGTGAAGTTCACGTGGAATGCGAACTAAAGACAAAAAAATATAAATAAATCCAAAGGGTCAAAGAAGAGAATGGTCGTGTCTGAGTCCGACAATCGCCGCCATTGGTTGTGGGCTATATCCTACTGCTTCGCTTATTGCATGTCACAA